TTCTAACTGCAATCCATACAGTGACCCGATACGTAGATACATCTTAGATATCTCACAATATTTATCTAGTCCATAAATATACATATATATATCCACTCTAAGGGACACTCACTAAACTACAAAGGGGTCTCAACCTGAATAGAAGGCAACATGCAAAACGCACCAGAGGTGGGCATGAGTACCTAGCCCTAACAGGGTACACCTCATCCGTCATAGCCAGCTATGCATCCTAATGCATATACACTTCTTAACCGACGATCCTGAGGCTCAAGCTCATATCGTGGTACCATAGTTATATATTTAAAGTCCATCCAGAACCAAAATATGTCATTCAATTGTTCATTGATCTGACATAAGATTTCCAATCCAGTTAGTCACTCAACTTATTCAGTTGATCTGACTTAACTACAAATAACAATTAATCCATGTAGTCACTCAACTTACTCAGTTGGTCTACCCTAAATATAAGTAGGATTCAATTTTTACAATCCATTCCCTTATTCCAATAGGGTAGGTCTTAGCGTTTTGAGCTAAACCATCCCTAGTATACCACCGTCTCATACCGGTGCATACAATCCATAACATCCAGGTAATTGACATAATTTAATAAAATAATTCAGCAATTAAAGTCCAACACATTAATCCATATAATTGACAGAACATAGTTTAACAGTTCAACAATTAATAACCAAAACATTAATCTATGTAATTGCAGAACAAAGTTTATTATTTCAGCAATTAACATCCAGAGTAAGCATAGATCAAATCTGATAAATAAATGACCTTATTGTGCATCCAAAACAAGTTTTATAATCATGTTATAGTCCGTTAAATTGTTAAAACAAAATTAAACAATTTAATCATTTTCATCCGTTAACAGCATGCTTTCCTATTGTTCCATCCATTAGCTTAGAGGCATAAACTATGCCATAAAAGGTTTTAATATTACTTGAAACTGGTATTTAAAACCTCCCAATAAAGTCCCAAAACAATTCGGAAAGAACAAACCGTCCAAACCGAGCTAAAAAAATTCTAGAAAGTGATAACTTAAGAGAGCATGCTCTCAAAACTTGAGAGCAGACTCCAACCATACATGGAGCCGGCTCCATGATCCTTGGAGCCGGCTCTAGAGGGGTGGGAGCCGACTCTCTAACCCCTAGAGCCGGCTCTTCACTTGGGGGAGTCGGCTCCCTCTTCCATGGAATCGGCTATCTCTTCCATGGAGCTGGCTCTCTCCCTCTCTAAGAACCCTGAACCTTCTCTGGCCTTCTGCTTCGTCTTCGGCAACTTTCAACTCTTCTGTTCCTCTTTAATACTGAACCTAAGATTCTAATTTATACCCAGTAGCATCCTAATCATTTGTTTATAACAGTAGGAATTAATAACAACGATTAAAACAACTACCGATTCATTATGCTTTAAAAACAGACAATGAATCCAAACTTGCAAGAACTATTCCAGACAAAATTAAACACATATAGATGATCAATTTAACATATACTAAGTATGCAAGATTCAGTTAATGTCCGATTAAAATCTTAGACATCATCTAGGCATGCACAGAACACAGGTTAAGGGGATAGAGACGAAATATAACTTGCCTATGTGGTTTTGAATCAAAACCTCATCGCCATCTTCTAAGTTTTCCGATGATGTCCTTTTACTGTCAATCTTCTACTGCTCAACATTCCCTTCTCCTAGGTCCGTCCTTTAATCCACAGCCAAAACCCCGTCTGTAACCCCGTCTGTAACCCCGTCTGTAACTCTTTGTTTTTCTCACAACCTCTCTTTATTTCTCTAGTACGTGAATAGGGTTTTTTCAACCCTAGACACATGTACTGTTGTATTTATAGGCTTAGGAAAACATAACCCTAATTCTAACTATGAACCGAGAAGGAAAAGAAACAATTAAATTTATAATCTAAGTCAGCTAAAACGTGACCCATAAAAGACTAAAACCCTAATTTAACATTACAATTAATAATACTAATTTAATCCAATTAATTCCATTTAAATAAACTAATAAACCATTAAAACAATTAAAACAAGTAATTTAATTAAAGGAAATACAAATACAATTAAACAAACAACAATGCAATAAAATAAACTAAATAAAACAAGTAATCAATTAATTACAATAATCAGGAAAATAAACAAATAAACAAATAAAAATGCAGTAAAAATTATTATTAAAATGCCGAGACTATCCTTTTAAAATTAAAAGTATTACACCTTAAGTCCGAGCTGAGCAACCCAAGCCTAGCTCATACATAATTTGTCCAGCCCGAGCCCGCACTAAGCCCACCTCAGAAGAATTTGTGTGTAAAAAATAAATCAATTAATGCTGCACCCATGACTTGAACCTAAAACTTTAAGTATAAATCCCAAGCACACTACCAACTTGGCTACTACACTCTTGCGACTTAAGTATATATATTTATAAATTTATAATATTTTCAGGCTCGGGTTAGGCTTCGGGCTTCATCCATATCAACCCAAGCCCAGCCTGAATTGAATTCGGGCTCAAAATATATAACCCGAGCTCAAAATATATAGCCCAAGCCCAAACTGAAATTAGAAAAATATTGCCCAAGCCCATAAAATTTAGGGCTGCGCTCTGGTTATTTCGGGTTGGGCTCGCTTGAGTTGCAGCCCTAGTTTATGCACAGAAGCCGGTCTTTCGTAATCACTTTCTCTACTAAAATCAGCAATGTCACTATAATCAGATAATTCACTATAAATGTTATCAGGACTCTCCCTTACTAATTTAATATTATCATAATCATGTGCCTCTTATCCGGCCCTCATGTCTTTCATCTCCCTTATTCCACTCCTCATCATCACTGTATGAGAAATTGTAATCATATTAATTTATCTTCAGAGTCACTATCTTTATATTCCCCCACAGGATTTTGTGGTCCAATGGCTCCATATCATTATCTAAATCAATTGGGACCATCTTTTTTAGCAATTGAACCATCCTTATTAGCAATCTCAACAATTATATCTATCTCCCTGTCATCTAAATTCAATGTAAAAATTATGATCAGATCATTATCCCCATTTAATAGCATTCTGCCACAACTCCCAAGGAATTCGTAAAATATATTCAATATCATACCAGTCTGATTATAAACATGTTTAAGCACAAATGCATAAGCAGATGAGTACAACTTTAAAAAGCAATAACTATTTGGATCTATCACTCTCACAACATGTATGTGATCATCAAACTTAAGTAGGAGATCATGGACTTTGTCATTAACCATCTGCAACTGACAAAAAAAATTCACACAAAATAAATAGACACTAAATCACACAAGATATGCAGTGTAAAGAGAGCATGCATATGATAGGCACTGTTAAGACAAGAAGCAAACTAAGTGATTGAAACAAATAAATGTCGAGCGGGACCCAAAATTGCCACTAATTTTGCATAGTCTGTCATACAATAAACATTCACAGATCAATCATTATGGTTGCCAAAAGTCAATAACATGCCATTTTATAACTTGTAGTCTCATCAAACTAGACATGCATTTTCACAAAATAACAAATTTTTGGTAAAAAAAAAAAAACCAATTCCAAGCTCTATATGCAACAAATTTCATGAAATAACAAAAATTTGATTTAAAAAAACCCCTAAATAAAATAACAACAAATTGATAATAAAACACTCAATCAAAAACCCTATATGCAACCAATGATTTCATGACACAACAATAAATTTATAGAAACCCCTAAGCAAAAACCCTATATGTAAACACTTGATCAAATATGTTACATAATGAAACACCAAGTCATAGAGGAAAAATGAGATCAGACTTACAGAATGAAACACAAAGTTAGAGAGGAAAAATGAGATCAGACTTGTAGAGATCGCGAACAACCAAACAACCGAACACACAGAACATAAACCACTAAATATTTAAGTGCTTGATCAAATCAAACCACCAACTTTAGCATTTCAGAACTAAGGTTTTGAAATGATAAACATGGTTACAAACTTAGGGTTTTCGAAAGAAAGAGATGCATGGTGCTACGAAAGGCTTTCAGACTTAGAGAAATAAAATGTTAGAGTGAGAGAGATGATGGTTTGTGGGGGTAGGTGGGATGATGGTTTCAGGCTTTGGAGAAATAAAGGGGTTTGTGGGGGTTGGTGGGATGATTGTTTCATCTGGCGCCAATTTGTGGCTGAAATTAACTCAAGGGTAGTTTCGTCTTTTTAATATGTTTGATATTTTACAACAAATTTGATTTTAATATTAAGGGGTAATTTCGTCTTTTCAGACCATCTAAGGCCTTGATTGATTGACATTTCTAATATGGGGTGTCATTGTCCATAAAACATGCAACTTATATATGTCTGTTATGGCAAACCTCAGGGGTGTCATTGTACTTTACCCTAAAATGTATTCCCTCTGTCGCAAAAAGAGACACTCTTTTTAGGACAGAGGGTGTCTCTTTTTGGGACAGAGTCACAGAGGGAGTAATTCAAAGACTAATTTTGTGGTTTACCCTAGTACTTTGTGAGCTTAGCACATACTAATAATATATATCCAAACTGCTCCATGATGTATCTTACAACAACAAAATCAACATTAAGAATAGTAACCATGGCCTTTATCTCAAGTAGTTTTTAAATCATGTTGATGGATATCTATTTACCATGTGTATGTATTTGCTTGAACTTTTAATTAAATTAAAAAAAAAAAAAAAAAAAAAGAGGAAAAAAAAAGAAAGTGTTTGTCACGTAAAACTTGGCCCATCCCAAACAAAGCCGGTCGTTCAAAATCCATGTCCAAATATGTTCTAAAGCCCGATTTTCCTATGAAAGTCCAATGGGCCATGTAAGAAAATAAATGTAGTAATCGCAGTGGGTCCACTATCATCAAGTACCAGTCTACTCCCTTTTATGTCACGCCCTTTTCTGGGAGGGTCCCAGTGAACGATCACACTTCTGGACCAGAAGTCGTTCTCCAACTATGTGAAAACCCACTTAGTAACACTCCCTTGGTCGCTCAATTGGTGATGAGAGAACAAGGCAATGAGCCCCTATTACTCTCATCCTCAGAAGAAAATGAAACCGGCCACCATCAGGAACAATCAGACGGTGGAAGTTGGATCAGACGGACATGGACGGAGACGAAGAAGATATGGCAGATTGCGGGTCCCTCCATCTTCACCCGCCTCGCCATGTTCTCCATGACCCTCATAACACAATCATTCGCCGGCCATCTCGGCGACCTCGACCTCGCCGCAATCTCCATTGCCACCACTGTCATCATCGCCATCAGCTTCGGCTTCTTGGTAATTAAATCACACTCTGTATACTGTATTCGATCTGTTGAAATTAATTTTGAAAAATTATAGAAACTACATTTCTCTGTATTCATTTCGTATAGGATTTCTGAATCAAGTACTTACAGTTGAGTGCTGTTTGATAAAACTGAAAATTTTGAGCTTTATTTTCAAGTGTTGAAGTTTTAAATGATAATTGCAAAAAATTGAGAATTTGTATTAAATTTTAATGCTCTGTTGGGTTATATGGAATTGGTGTCTTAGAATTGAAATTGGTGAAGATTTAGTTCAAACTTTAAACTAATTTTTCTCCCACCAATTCCATGCAGCCGAACATAGCTTTAACTGTAACATTGTGTGATGTCAACTGGAGAAAATTTGGTTCAAGCTTTAAACTAATTTTTCTCTCACAATTCCATACCACCAAACATAGCTATAAGTATTTAAGATTCAGTTAAAAGTGATATCACTGACACTCAAAATTTTAGATATTCAACTTACAATATCAAACTCAATATTGGAATAAAAAGGGCAAATTCAGTGCACAAGGCTCATTATGGGAGTTTGGGAGGGTAAGATGTATGCAGCCTTACCTTTGCATGCGAAGAGACTATTTCCTTGTTTTTAACCCGTCACCTCCAGGTGACAATGGATTAACCTTACTGTTGCGCCAAGGCTCACCCTCAAACTCAATGTCAGAATCAAGTAAAACAAATTGGGTTATCAAACATATCGATACCCATTTCCAATCATAGTTGCATTACCCATTTCCAATTCCATTACCTATTTGTTTTACTGGGATTTCTACGAGACCTGAAATTGGGCTTTGATGGTGTAAAATCACAAGGGATGAAGCTAGCATGAATGGGGCATAGACTTCCTCGTATAGTATAGGTAGAAAACAAGACCGTGCTATATTCGTGTAACTTTAACCAAGTGCTAAGTGAAGAAGACAAAATCTTAGCGTAATAGAAATGTGTGTGTATATATAAAAATTTTCAGCTCATTCTATGTTTCTGAATTTTGCCGCAGCAACTCAATTATGGAAGTTGTATTTTTGTGTTTGTGGTATTTGATGATAGTTAGGGATGGCGAGTGCGCTCGAAACACTTTGTGGCCAAGCTTATGGGGCGAAACAGTACCACATGCTGGGTATATATATGCAGTGTTCGTGGGTTGTGTTGTTTCTTGGTTCGGTGTTATTGTTGCCTCTTTTTGTGTTTGCTACCCCTATATTGAAGCTCACCGGACAGTCGGCAGAAATAGCAGAGTTGTCAGGGGTGGTGGCGATGTGGTTGATTCCGATGCACTTGAGCTTTATGTTTCAATTCACCTTATTGAGGTTCTTGCAGTGCCAGCTCAAGATGGCGGTGATTGCTTGGGTGTCTGGTGGGGCACTTGCAGTCCATGTGTTTGTTAGTTGGCTTTTTGTGTATTGGCTGAGGGTTGGCATTGTTGGCACTGCACTTACTCTTGATTTCTCATGGTGGGTTTCGGTTTTGGGACTCTTTGGGTATATAGTTTGTGGTGGGTGTCCTCATTCTTGGACTGGCTTCTCAAACCAAGCTTTTGTTGGGCTTTGGGAGTTTCTCAAGCTTTCTGTGGCTTCTGGGATCATGCTGTCGTATGCTCTTTCTCTCTCTCTCACACACACACACACTTGTCACTTGCAGTCAGATTTAAAATTTGACAGTTTTTAGTGTTTTAGGTTGGAGAATTTCTATTATAGAGTGTTGATCATAGTGTCTGGGATGATGATGAATAACACTGAAGTTGCAGTTAATGCCCTGTCCATCTGGTTTGCTCCTAATCCTTTAGCCTTTTCAATTTACTCCATTAATTTTTATTACATTCTTTTTTGAGCAGTGTTACAGGAACCAAAACATTAGACCGGTTAAGCAATGTGAATTCAAAATAACCAATAGTTATCTTTATGTGGATCTTCTCTTTAAACTCTATTGGTTATTTTAATTTACGTTGTTAGTTTGTTAGTTATTTCATTTAAAAAAGAATATTTCTTTTTTGTTTTTTTTTTTTTAATTCGGACTATTTTTTTTTTCTTGACAGCATCGCTATTTATGGTTGGGAATCTATGATTCCACTTGGTTTTTTTGCTGCAACTGGGTAAGTTGATCTTTGTAAGTCTCTCTCTCTCTCTCTCAAGTTCGGAGCCAATTTGAGGTCCAAATATGAAACTTGAATTTAGAATATTAGTATAAGAAGAGAGAACGAGATTGGAGATGCAAAATTTCAAATTGTAAGGCACAGAAAGTATATGAATATGGGGTTCAAGGCATTTTTATCACGAGCATCTTTACTTGTCCTGTTGTGTCCACTAAAAATGAAGCAGTCTTGAAAAGCAGTATCATATCTCCATAAAGGAAGGAAAGTGTCCTCATAGCCTTCATTTGACCCCATAGGTCACCATCCATCCCCACTTTGTCTCTTCACTTGGCGCTTGTGCTATGACAACCATATATCACTTTGTTTTTGTACCCCTCCATATGATGTATGCAAACTTATGATAAGAGAACTCATAGTTGTTAAAGGCTAAGGCGCACTAAGGTGCCAAAGGCCTTCTGGAGTCTAAGCGTATGGGGTAGTATAAGACACGGGCCTAATCGAAGTAAGACGTGTAATAATAATGCATATTTAAACATATATTACTATATATATTCAGAATCAAGCACAAATTGCAGTTAATGTAAGTAGTGAATAATAAATTTATGAATTTTGTCAAATATTTCATAATGTTTAACAATATGATATATGATATAGAACCCTTTAATTTAGTAGTCATTAAATAAAAAGAAAATGATATGAATAAATGATTAAAAAAATTCAAGGCGCGCCTTTTTTGACCCTAGAGCCTACTAAAAAGTGTGAGCCTGGAGAGTTTTATGTGAGCCTGATTGAAGGGGCCTAGTTTGTAGTAGGTTGAGGCGCTCTAGTTGAGCCTTGACGAGCGTGGGGCTTTTTTGGAGCCTAGCTAGGCGCGCCTTTAACAACTATGAGAGACTTCAACTGAGAAATTTAAAATTCTTTGCCAGTTGCTATTGACCTCACATGAATCTCATAATTGAATTTATCACATCTATTGAATGAGGTTTTACAGTTATGATTACTCTACTTTTGACTTACTGATTTGTCTCATTGACTAACCAACAAAATTCCGAAGTTTGGATATGTTGTAGAAGGTTGTGTTCGATTACATTATATCTACATGAGAATTTGTTTTTTTACATTTTTTTGGGTGATAGTTACTAGTTGGTTTGTAAGTCAATTCTCTTGGATTTAGTCTCCACTTTATTATTATAAATTTAGGCATCACATCAACGGTGGCTTCACAAAATCTTGATTTTTTTTTTTATTTTAAATTCTTGATTCTTATAAGTAAAACTCGTTGGTCAAATTAGAATATGGTGTTCTTCATCACTTTCTCCCATGGGTATGCTTCTGAAAGAAAAAAAACTCAACCTCTCTGTTGCTATCCGATATTCTGTGTGCACAGAGTACGTGTAGCAAATGAGCTTGGAGCAGGCAACGCAAAAGCAGCCAAGTTCGCCACCATCATGTCAGTACTGACCTCCCTCGTAGTGGGGATTTTTTGTTGGTCAATGATCATGGCCTTCCCTGACAAGCTTGCAATGATCTTCACTTCAAGCACTTCCGTCATTGCAATGGTCGATGAACTAGCAGTGCTATTGGCATTAACCATTCTCATCAATTGCATTCAACCAGTTCTTTCAGGTAAAAGAACTAAGAGGTGTCCAATTTTACAAGCCAAATGCAAGTGTAACAATATCATAATCCGCCCATTTGCTATTTCTTCAGGGGTAGCCGTTGGATGTGGTTGGCAAGGATTGGCAGCATGTATAAATATGGGTTCTTACTATATCATTGGAGTCCCTCTTGGGTTAATCTTGGGATGTTTGCTTCCTTTTGGCATTAAGGTATAACATTTGTTTTACACTGTTCCAAGCACTATGAGCAAATTATGATGCTCAAAGAAACCATTGTGTGTGTCTGGCCTGATTTTTCAAGCATTACTTTCAAATTGTATTCCTGATTTTGATATGCAATGTATCTATATGTTTATCAGGGTATTTGGGCTGGAATGATCGGCGGGACAGTGGTTCAAACATCAATATTAGCAATCATCATTATCAGTTGCAAATGGGAAAACGAGGTAACAATATTTCGAAAACAGGATCGAAACATATTCTCATTTCCATTCTAAGAAACTGACAGTTTCTCCCGGTTGGATTATCGTTTGCAGGCACAGAAAGCTCGGTTTCATATGGCTAATCAGGCACTCCCCAGCTATTAATCTCAGAGCACTGCAAATGGATAGGTGCAAATAGTTTTTGTTCAAACTACAAGAGCTCTAATGCATTTCAGAAAAAAAAAAATCTACTTATTCTTTTCATGATTTCTTCTTGTCATTTTTTTATATTATATGTTCGAGTTTGATTTTTTAAATCTTTTGAGTTGCAGAGAATAGATGAGCCCATTTTGTATGTACCCCACATATGTGAATACTTTGGAGAGGGTTAACATCTCTAACACTCTCAATTATGTATGATGAAAAGAAAATGTTACGCAAACAAAATGTATATATATAAAAATTTGTTTTGAAATTAAGTGAATGCAGAAATATTCATGTATTCGGAGTGCAGAAAAATGTATGTTCGTATTAACTATCTGATCTCATTGGATAGTTAAAAATGCCATTTATGTTTCTAGTCAGAGATGATATCCAACGGTGATGATTTAATGGTTTTTTCTTTATTTTTGTATTTTAATTTGATTCAGCTGGGATTGTAAATGAACTTTAGCTAACCGAATTACAGAATGGTTTTTATGATTGGTTTCGGTTGACTTTCTAAACTGTACTAAACTTGATTAGTGGGTTTTATGTATGGATTCTAAAAATTCAATGGTTGTAATTTAATTAGTGTAGAAAGTCTCTGCGCAAAGTCAGTCTGTACAGTAATATTCTTTGAAGAACAAAACAGAAAAATAATTGAAGGCTCTTATATTGCCTTTCGAAATATCTGACAATAAAAACAGGGTTTTTTTTTTCGGTTCTTCGTTTGGATTTGCAATATTGGTGACGCAAAGAATAATCAAGATTTATGATGTACAAGAAAAGGTTTGTATGTATATAAATCATAAATTTTTAAAGTTGTTTGTCTTTTCTCATGTTATTGGAAAACAAAAAACAATTCATAATTTTGATTGATTACATTTTTTTTGCATAAATTATTTTCTGAAATTGAGATTAAAATAAAAAAGAAGAAATATAAGTTTCGTATTCGGTTTTTTTTTTGGTTTGAAATTATGTTTAAATTATTAAAATCAAGATAAAAAATTTATTTCTTTTAAGTTTTTGATTCTACAGGCATATCTATTTGAGAATGGTTTTGTGGACATTCTTAATTGGCTTGTGTGCATAATACAGGTATTTATGATGCACTCATATTAGCTGTCCTCTTTTAATATTATAATTTTTTAATTACGTTTCCTTTTAAAATTATATCATTGTGGCTTTAAATTTAAATGTGTATGTTACCAAATTGGAATTTTTTTTTTGAAAATTTAAACGGTAATTATATATATATAAAAAAAAAAAACAATATATTTTTTGTTTGGACTTCAAATGGTATAATTAATTTGGATGCCTAAAAAAGAATAATAAAATATTAGTATAGGACAGAGGTAATATATAATATGATGATTACTATACTTAATATATATTTTTTAATTTTATTTTAACTATTCCAATCATAATGTATAATAATAACTCTTAATTAGGGATATATAAGTTCGAATTTTTTTTTATCATTTTCTTATATAATATACATATATATGGTGCAGAAAATGATGAGAAAAAGGCAGAAAAGACATTGACAGAGAGATGAAATGAACAGTCTTTAATTACTATCTCTCAACCCTTCAAATGCGGCCACACCGCCACCCTTCCCTTCCGTGACGTCCCGCGTGTCCATCTTCAGCGTTGCCTGCATATATATACCTGTCCACACTGCCACCCTTTTGTCTTACTTCTCTTTCTCTCTCTCTCAAGCCATCCTTTCTCTCTCACACACATACACACAGTACTACTAAAGCTAGTTTGATCAGCCTAGCTAATTTTCAAATAACACATATACGCAACAACATCTCCTGATCATGGGAAGCATCATCAAGAGTACTACTTCTACCACTGACGATGATGAACTCAATCAGACCTTGTTGATTCAAGATTCGGCAATATTATCCTCAGACGGCCTAGAAAAGAAGCAATTAGTGAAAGAAGAGGATGATGAAGAGAGGGATTTGAAAACAAGGGTGTGGATTGAATCGAAGAAGCTATGGCACATTGCGGGTCCTTCCATATTCAGCCGCTTAGCTTCTTACTCCACCAATGTTATCACCCAATCCTTCGCTGGCCACCTCGGTGACATTGAGCTCGCTTCCATCTCCATTGCCAGCAACGTCATCGTCGGCTTCAATTTCGGCCTAATTGTATGTCCCTGCATCTCATTTCTTCCTTCATTTACATGCATATATATATACAGCGAGTATTATTATATTGTGTGTATATATATATATATATGTTCAATTGTTCATAGCCAAATTGATTATCTAGAACATAATTTTATTTTTTAGGTAAATAAATCTGATTAGGAAAAATAAAAATAAAAAAACTATACAAACAGCATGGGTCATGGCCCAGAACCACAAACCAGGCCCATTAACAAACTAGCCAACTACCAAAACCAAGCATTGGCGGGAAGCGAAAGTTAGCAATATGCAGACAGGAGAGATGCTAATTCTTCTCCTAGGGATCAAATAAGGACCTGGGCTGGTTAATTCCATTCATTTGTGATGGTCGGCATTCGCAATGTTTAATAGAGTATAAGTGATAACGGATTGAATCAATGATTGAATTTATGTCATGCTTGGGAACACCGAATCAGTGTTTTGGATTTTGATTAGATTTTCTTTAATTCCAAATCCAAGGCATCAATTCAGTGCTTCAACATTAGGGTTTTTAGTGGGGAAGAAGATATATTTATGAAGATTTGTGATTTCTTTCCTTCAAATGTGGTAAACAAACCTAGCAAGGGTAATATTTGAAGGTAGGGTTTTACTGTACATTTTTTTTGCTTCTAGCTCAAAGAAGCCAAAGGAGAAAGTCATTCCAACAATTAGGGTTAGTGTTGAAGAGAAAATCAGCATCATCCGGAACGGACGCGTTTCTTGCAATATACAAGGATGACGTCTCTTCGAACGGCACCGATGTGGTGCCAGTTGAGGATGCTTAAATGATCAAGTCAGTAATTGGAAGGAGTTGTAGAGAGTCGTATTTGATACGTACAATTTTTCACATACCTCATTTATTGGCCGACCCCTATATATTGTTATTCTCAGGATCTCAGTGAGTTCGATTAGATGATTGAGTTTATTTCTTCCAACAAATCTCCGGATTTGGTTAGTGGTCGCCCTTATCTCCTTAAAATTTAAATTTAAAATAAATCTAGCAATATCCAAGTCAAATAATCGAAGCAGTAGTTTTTCCCTATCATATAGAATCCACACTTAGCTTGCAATGAGTTCCAAATAAATGAGGAATAAGGGCATTGATGGAAGACGTTATTGTGGTTCTCAGCTGCTTTGAGGCAAAGGATACAAACATTACACTGCATCAAGAAATTTAGAGCTGGTTTGTGTTTATTAAGGAGTTTATCTTGAATGGCAAGCCGCAAACAAAAGGCATGTTTGGGAATCGATTGACTGAACCAAACCAGCTTGTGCCAGTGGACTTTAGGGAATGGTTGGGAGATGGTAGCCACAGAGTAAGGTCGTCCAGGGTAAGATTGGGAAGGGGAAGGTTCGAGATCGATGTCACAAATAGGGGACACTATGTTGTGCAGATGTCTAGGCCAAGACCATTGCCCATTAGAAATCAGTGATGACACCTTAACATAGTTGTTGATATTCCAGCCATGTCTAGAGTCAGTAGGAATACCATGGTAGAATTCCCATTGTTGATTTTGTGTTAATGTATAAATATATGTATGTATATATTACACACAACACAAATGTTGCATGAATGGATGTATTAAGTTTATAAATAACTTGTTCTATTTTTCTATATGTATACATAAGTCTACACATAGGTGGATATTTATACATGTATTACACACATATGTCGCGTGTATATATTTATTAAATTTATAAATTACTTTTTCTGTTTTTCTATTTATAAATATGTCTATATACATGGGTACATGCTGATACCCAAACTGAATAGATAGACCAGAATTTTGTACTAATGTATTTGTGTATATTACTCGCTTATGTTCTATGTATGAATGTATTAATCTACTAAATCACTTGGTCTGTTATTGTGAATTAGCTAGGGATGGCAAGTGCATTGGAGACTCTATGTGGGCAGGCATTTGGGGCCAAGAGGTACCACATGTTGGGAGTATATATGCAGAGATCATGGATTGTTCTATTCTTGTGTTCTGTCTTGTTATTGCCCCTATACGTATACGCAACCCCAATTCTGAAGCTCATGGGACAGCCTGATAAAGTGGCGGAGCAATCGGGGATGGTGGCGCTTTGGTTCATTCCAATGCACTTCAGCTTTGTATTTCAATGCTCACTACAGAGGTTCTTGCAGAGCCAACTTAAGACAGCGGTCCTAGCATGGGCCTCCTTGGCGGCTCTTGTGGTTCATGTGATTATCAGTTGGCTTTTTGTATATCAGTTTAAGCTTGGGTTGGTTGGAACAGCTGTTGCTTTGGATGTGTCTTGGTGGGTTTTCGTTCTTGGCCTTTTGGGGTATACAGTGTGGGGTGGGTGTCCCCAAACTTGGACTGGTTTTTCCATGCAAGCCTTCTCTGGCCTCTGGGAATTTTTCAAGCTCTCTACTGCCTCGGGAGTCATGCTTTGGTATTTCCCTTGCTCTTTATAGAGGGAAATCTTTTAGAATTCGTCATTCAAACAACTCTGAATGATTTGATATGAGTAGAGAGCGTATCACATCAAATCAGTCGGAGTTGTCCGACTTTCGGATTCCATATCATCACTCATATATGTGTGCGTGTGCCTTTGTGTATAATGTTTATGCAGCTTGGAGAATTGGTACTATAGAATATTGATATTGATGACTGGGAACTTGAAGAATGCTACAATAGCTGTGGATGCATTATCCGTGTGGTATGTGAATTTCTTATGATTAATAACATTTCATTACCAATTATGTATGATAAGAGAAAAATTCAATAAATGCATTTTTAGCATGTCCATAGGATAATTTTTTTTATTTTTTATTTTTATTTTGCTGTCCTCTTGGTGTGATTGACTATGATGTGGCAGTATGGCGATTAATGGCTGGGAAATGATGATTCCTCTTTCCTTCTTTGCTGCAACCGGGTATTGTTATTTGACCCTCTCATGCTAGATATTGTAACTGGTTTATTCACAATTGTCAGCCATATGCAGGATGTAACTTTTTTTATTAAACCCTAAAATATGACATCTTTTTTCTTCCCTTCCGGCATGCTGTGGCTTCCCGGCAAATGGTAGCAATGCACAATCAGGTGCAGGATGTGACTCTATGGACTACCAATATTAAAGGGATAATATTCATTTTTCCTAAGGTTTAACCGGGGCCGGCCCTGACCCAAGGCGATCGCCTAGGGCCTCGAAAGGGCGTCAAAATTTTTAAGCCCATTAGTGATAGGTCCAAAGAAAGAAAAACTTAAACCCCTTTACAATGAGTGATAAGCCCAAATAAAAAGAAAAAAAATTTAGGCCCCTTTCTATGAATGAAAGGTCCAAAAAAAATATATATATATACTTGTCATTCAATTAAACGAATTCACAGCCCATTCAAAATTAGGGCCTTTAAAAACTTGGTAATTAAATTTGAAATTGAATATGGCCTTTTACTACTTTATGCGTATGTTAGTGTGTATTTTAGTAATTAAAAGACCTCACATTTAAGTTCGCCTATGGCCTCTCAAGATTTTGTCAATCTCAGAGCCGGCCCTCGATTTAACATGACTTGACAAAACCAGAAAAAGAAAAACAGGGAACTTTAAAGGTCCTAATCCAAGAAATTTTTAGTTTTCAGTGACTAATTTGGATTTGGTGGAAAATTTCCGTCTAAATTTGTATGAATTTTCTCATAATAAAAGGAATTTCTAATATATATAGAAAAAACAAAGATCCCACAAATTCAGCCCTCTACATAAACATGTATTAAAGCATGTATAAAATTATGGCGAAGGTGCCTTTATGTGAAATCATTGGTCACATTTGTTGCTTTAAAGCAAACTAATCACTTAACAATTATCTTTAATTTTGGTCACTAAATTACAAAGTCTCTGTTTCATACGTTTGCTTGTTTCATACGTTTGCTTGATATTGTCGTCATGGCTTTTGTTGAGGTCACGACTCTTCATCAACCATGACCAGCCACTAATTAAGCTTGTCCGAAATTATTACAGTGTACATTTTAAAGATTTAATATATATACAACTTTTAGGAAAAGATACTCAAAAAATTTCTGCGTAAAATTGTGGTGAATATAGAAAACTTTAAGCAACACTACAATATTGTTAAATAAAAATTCAATTAATTTAAGCTTTTATAGTATTGCACTCCTTCCCTTGTATAATATTGTATATTAATGGATGAGTTGTTTTAGCAATTTTGCCATTCGTTTCAAAAATGTATTTATAACTTGTTGAATGCATCAAAATTCTTTGTTTCATCTCTTCATTTGTCACATTTTTCTGGGTGATTCACTCTCCCAAGTACCAAGCCATAGTTTCCTGAATTTATTATGAAAATATTTACAGAGTAAGGGTTGCCAACGAGCTAGGTGCAGGGAACGGAAAGGGAGCAAAATTTGCAACAAAAGTGGTCGTGGCACAGTCCACAATAATCGGTGTCTTCTTTTGTGCACTTATAATGACATTCCATGACAAGATTGCATTGATCCTCTCATCGAGCAGCGACATCCTCAGAGCAGTTGATAAGCTTGCGTACCTCTTAGCTATCACAATTCTTCTCAACAGTGTTCAACCAATTTTATCAGGTTAATTCACCTCCAACTTTTCGATTGAAATGTGTAGCATTCTTATTTTCACAGCATTTATGAAGAAAGAACAATATCTTTCTTTCTTTTCCTAGGGGTGGCCGTTGGATCAGGTTGGCAGTCGAAGGTTGCATACATAAATTTAGGCTGCTACTACCTTATTGGACTCCCCCTTGGAGTTGTTATGGGTTGGGTCTTCCATTTGGGTGTTGAGGTATGTTAGCCTTTTTTTAATCCCCTTGAGAGTACACCAAAGTGACTGTAAATTGGTTATGTGAATGTCATAGTAGGTGTGGACCTAAGAGCTCAAAGGACCATGGTCTGAAACCACAAGGACACACCGGACCTTGTGGTTTGAGGACTAAATTTCATGTTTTTCGCCACAAAAATTGTTTACAAAACTAGTATTCTAACCTTTTCCATTATAATTTACTAACATTCTTTGTTGCTTCCACTCGAGCACGAAAAATTGTTGGGACATTTTTACCATTCGGAGCCTTGGATTGATCTCTACAGTTAGGTTTCAGTATTGTCATGATTAGATGGGTTCGCACTGAACATATATATTATCAGTTAAAAGAAAAAAGGAACATTGTTACTAAATATTGCATTCATTAGCCATGAAAGGATACATGACTTGCTTGCATGACTGATAGTTATGTTGGTCACGAAGAAACTATGAATATCATGGAAAGTTATTGTGAATTTTTTCATTATGTGTTTTACTTATTAATCTAAGTTACATTTTAAAAAATTTAGTGAGATTTGTTTTTGCTTTTATACTAGTCAAATTTCAATTCTCATATTCATTTGAACAGATGTATGAATATTGAGATGTTGGAGGAAGCTAAATAATTCTGAAAAAAGGAAATTAGTTATGCAAATTAACCGCATAAAGTTTGAAAAATCAGATTTGATCAATTACAAGATGATGTGATCTATCTTATTCAGTTAAATATCATAAAACATATATTATATATTATAACATATTCAATTTGTACAGATTCTACCTTCTTCCTGCTAATTTGATCATAACAGATACACTATGAAAACGTATATTTAGAGCTACTAGATATAATATTTTAATTCTCCATTACTTCTGCTAATGTATCTACACAGACTATAGGATTTCTATTAAAAGTTTTTAATAGAAGTCATTAAGAACACTTTGCTGTTAATCATCCAGACTCGGAATGGTAAAAATGTCTAACAGATTTTTATTTTATTTATTTTATTATTATTTTTATTTTTTTTATGTGAACTAGTCCAATCAAAATTCTAAGTAAACTCAATTTTGTTAATGAGATATTATAAAGAAATGTGAACATGTGTTTTTATTGGACTAAACCGGTAAGCAACTTATGATTCAGAATCATCTAATAATTTCTTAAGCACACTTGCTGACATTGTAACTTTGTGACTCCATGATTATTTATAAGAACGACTTAGGTTCCTGCATAAAATGATGCATTTGGTTGATTATTAGATGACAAGTATGGGAAACCACCAAGCACCTTTAAATGATAGCCCGAGTTTTATTAAAAGCCATAATTTCTCGTCCAAAATTCAATGTTGTACATGATCTATGATAAAAGATAATAGTTCTTAGTTTTTTTACTAGAGGATCATGAGTTTTGCTTTCATTTTTTACTTACAAAGTGAATGGCTGCACTAGGGTATCTGGGGTGGCATGATTTTCGGTGGAACTGCGGTACAGACGGCAATATTGATCATTATAACAACACAAAGCGATTGGGAAATGGAGGTGGAGTTGGACACAATTTTTCTTCATCTTTGTTGAAATACACATAATATATATAAATATATGTTCATACACCTAATATATTTTCTTTTCCTTTTGTGTGGAATTGCAGGCTGAGAAAGCTACCATGCATGTTCAAAAGTGGTCAACTCCGAAACAAGATAATCTATCATAAATTGAACATTTTTGTTTAAAGATGGCATCTAACAGTGTCAATTGGATTGGAGAGAGCAATATTGCATGAGGCTCTTTTTCTCAAGATGTTTGTTCCTAGTATGTCATTGCCTTCTACATATGTACATTATCTTTTTACTTTCTAAACCTCTTTGATTTTCTTAGTTTTTATTTTTTTGAAAGGTAAATGTAATTATATACATTGTAAATAGGTATAATTGCATTAAATAAACCCCATTGACTTGTACTGTTTTGTCGAAACCCCTCTTTATTTATTATTTATTACTCATTCCGTTTCAAATTAAACATCCCTTTTTTAAAATTTAACTTTTTAAGTGTGTTTCTTTTATTATCTTTTTACTTTCTAAAATCTTTGATTTTATTAGTTTTTATTTTTTTGAAAGGTAAATGTAATTATATACATTGTAAATAGGTATACTGTTTTGTAGAAACCCCTCTTTAATTATTATTTATTCCGTTTCAAATTAAACGTCCCTTTTTAAAAATTTAACTTTTTAAGAGTATTTTTTTTAATATTGTTTATTATATTGGTAGTGAATAAACTATCAAATGTTTTTGTAGTGAATTCACATGATATGATGGTTTATTTTTTATAAGTTCAATACAAGAAGGTTAAATTAGTAATGTTACAAAAAATAATACTTTGATTTGTCTACATTTATTTTGGGACAGTTAAAAATAGAAAGGTAAATATTTAATTTGAGGCTGAGAGATTATTATTATTATTATTTATTTTTGCCAAAAAAGCCCCTCCAACTAACTGGGTTATTTTACATATAAAAGCAGGCCCAAGCCTCGGAACATGGGCGATGGGCCAAAAGGTTTAAACTAGTACTGTTGGATAACAAGGGCAAGGCCCCAAATGCCTGCTGAGGCAAACTGAGAAAAGTTTCTTCTTCTTCTTCTTCTTCTTCTTCTTCTTCTTCTTTTTTATTTATTTATTTATTTTTTTTTTTTTGTGTGTTATCCCTTATAAAAGTTGTTTATCTAGTATTATTTGTTTGTTTAGGTCATTTCCATGTTTGACAAATAGATCACAACAACAGGGGTCATTTTCACGTTGGACAGATAGATCACAAGAAATAGAGATTAATTAGTATGGTGTTGAAAAAAATCTTTGATGCTGATGTAGAAGTAAAATAGTAATCTCTTTAACGGGAGAAGTACATATATTTAATTGATTCTAGGTTCATTTGACATAGGTACGCTTTGTTGTCCGGTTGGTGTGTAAGCATACGATTTTGTGATTGAGTCTTGGCTTGAGAGAGAATATAAAAGTTTGACTTATTGGTGTAATTTAACTTCAAAATTTTAATGTACAATTTTATTATTTATTTTGAAAAATAAAAATGATTAGATTAGTAGATACAAAGAATGAGGAACGGATCTAGAAATTTATATGGAGTAGGGGCAAATTTATATAGAATAGAAATTTATATGAGGGAAGACAAATTTATATAGAGGTGTTTTTTCTTCTTCATAATTTCAGTGGGAACAATTTAAAAAATTTATTGATATAAATAAAAAGAAATACAAATTTAAGGGTATAAAGTGTAATAACAAAAAATTTCAGTAGGGGTGGATGTCTCCACTGAGCCCACAATAGAGAATCGAAGTCTGGCACTCTAAGGTCTACAAAAAATATTAATCCACTAAATTATTGAGACAACTGCACATACAATAAAATAGGAGTATTTTCTGTTAAAGTGAGAAATGCATATATTTGATTGATTCTAACACAGGTGTGCTTTGTTGCCCGATCTGTGGGTAAGCTTCAAGATTTGGTGATTGAGCCTTAGTTTGAGCCATTATGTTGACAACTAATATGAGAAGAAGGGAGTACTAAATATTGCATTCATGAGCCATTATGTTGGTCATGAAAAAACTATGAATATCATGGAATGTTATTCTTGTTAAAGTTGCACTGCACAATTAACCGGATTTGATACCAGTTATTGTGGCGGAAACATAAAATAAATAACACTGTTCAAGGAATAAACAAGCAATCACGAAGAATAAAAAAAAAAAAAAATCACACAAGAACACAAGATATACATGGTTTACCCAAATCTTAAGACTACGTCCATGGAGCACACCAAACAAATTCACTATGAAAAAGATAAAGAATTACAATAGAGAATTTTCTCTCAATCTCTCTCAATTGCTCTCTCTTGTATTGGCACAAATTTATCTTTAATTTTCACACCCTCTAAAATCTGATTAGAGTTGATATTTATAGAGTTCCCAAACTTGTTCTATAAGAACTTACCTTTTGTAGAATCCAAAACCAATAAGGAAGTTAAATCAAACCAGGAAACTGAATTTTCCTTAAACCAATAAGTAAATTCAAATCAGGAAATTGAATTTTCCCCAAAATTCAGTACTCTTGAAGTTTCTATATAATTAAATCTTCCTAAAAACCAATTACCTAATCAGACTCCACAAAACCACAACAATCTCCCACTTGGAGGCTGGAGCACTTGTAAACATATTCCATCTTATTCTCATGCATGTCCCATACATGTCAATGTGCTTATCTCTGTCTTCAAGCTAGAAGACCGACTGAAGTTGCGCACAACTTCAGTTTCTCCATGGTCACTGTCTTGGTCAATATATCAGCCAGATTCTTGGTACAAAGTATTTTCTCAAATGTCAACATCACATCTTTTAACAAAGATCTGATAAAGTGATATCGAAGTCCTATATGCTTGGTCCTTGAATGAAATGCTGAATTCTTTGCCAGATGTATCGCACTCTGACTATCACTGTGCAAAACATTCTTTACCTATTCGAATCCCAACTCTGTTAACAAACCTTGTAACCAAATCATTTCCTTGCTGGCATCTGTCATCGCCACATACTCTGCCTCTATAGTAGATAACGCTACAATCCTCTGTATTTGCGAAACCCAACTAACTACAGTTGTACACACCATGAACACATACCGGGTAGTACTTCTTTTGTGGTCCACCTCACCAGGAAAGTCTGAATCTACATAACCATGTAGCTTCACTTCACCCCTTTTGAAACATAAGCATCTGTCTATGGTACCCCATAGATATCTCAATATCCACTTTACTACTTCCTAGTGTAGTTTGCCTGGGTTCTTCATGAACCTGCTTACTGCTCCCACTACATATGCTATGTCTGGTCTTGTGCACACCATGATATACATCAAACTTCCAATGGCTGAGGCATATGGAATTTTAGCCATGAAGTTTTTCTCATCTTCTGTCTTCAAACACTGATCTTGAGATAATCGAAAGTTATTAGCCAAGGGAGTACTTACCGCCTTAGCATTGTTCATATTGAACCTCTTCAGAACCCGTTCAACATACTTAGCCTGAGACAACTGCAAAGTACTTTTCTGTTTGTCTCTACTAATCCTCATCCCAAGAATCTGCTTCGCTGCATGTGATACCCCGGGATTTCTGAATGCGGGTTGGCCAGGCCCACGCCCGAATACCCGAGGATATCAAAAAATTCGGTAATAAACGAACACAGAGTACAAAAATGATTTAAAAAATTAAAAAATAAAATGCTGAAAGGAAACTAAAATAATAATCCAATAATTAATCCTCAGAATAAATTTTCATTGATTAATAAATCCTACAACTAATCCTCCAAAAATATACAACTCGGGAATTCATACAATGTGGACCCCTAAAAATCCAAACTAAATAAGTAACTGAAATAATGTCTACATCTGAAAACAGAACCATAAACAATTCTTCTAAATGGAAGCGGAAGAATGAAGTAGACTGATTCCTGCTCAACACGAACAACCTCTACTCCTGATGAACACCTGAAAAATAATGGTGGGTCAGACCCACAAATAAGTTCTACTCTACTATAGTCCAAGTAGAGATCCGATACACGTATACATCCTAATCAACTCAACAATAGCTATATAGTCCGTATATAAATATATCCACACTAAGGGACTCTCACTGGACTACAAAGGGGGTTTCAACCTGAATAAAAGGCAATATGTAAAACGTACCTGAGTGGGCATGAGTACCTAAGCCTAATAGGGTATACCTCTACCATCATAACCAGCTACGCATCCTACTGCATATACGCTTCCTAACCGTCGACACTGAGACTCAAGCTCATGCCACGGTACCATAAATATATATTTAAAATCATATCATATTCATCCATAAGAAATCTGGTTAGTTGTTCAGTTTGTTCAACTGCAGAGACTAAACATTCAGAGAAAAACCAGTTAGTCATTCAGCTTGTTCAACTGCATAGACTAAACATCCAGAGGAAATCCAGTCGTTCAGCTTGTTCAACAGCACAGACTAAATATAATTAAGATTCTATATTTATAATCCATTCACTTATTTCGTATAGGTAGGATATAGTATTTTGAAACTAATTCATCTCTAGTATGCCACCGTCCTATACCGGTGCATACAATCCATTCATCTATAATAAATGATGCACAAATAAATTAGTACACCAATTAATCCATACCTAGCATGATATAAATCATACACATAACCATTTGCGTTTATTTAAGTAAATACAACAATTTAAATAGCATGTAGTTAACTTACATTCCACGTAATTAATCTACATTTTAGATAAATAATATAAACTCCTAATCATGAATAAAGTCATTTAAACATTTAATTCAATTGTTAAAACAATTAAATAACTAACCATCCATAAAATAATTTATAAAAATTATTTATAAATCTGCATTGTCCAATTCCTTAAGCATATGAAGCGTATTATGTATTCTAAAACCTTCCAAAGTCCATTTAACCCATTTAAATTAATTAAAATTGGTTTAAAAATAATTCTGAGCAATTAAAACCAACATCCAAGTCGCGATCCAACTGAGCAGGCTGAGTTCCTAACTTAGTCGGCTGAGTTCCCAACTTAGTCGGCTAAGTTGGTGTTGAAATCGTCTTCTTCATCTGTTCAGCCTCTGTAAACCCTAAAACTCCATAGTTAAAGCCTCTAAGC